GGGTAAACATATGCAGATCAATGCTGTCATGTCGTTTAATCTATCTGATAACTCTCTCCCGCGTACTCATACATGTCTCTTTTCGTGTATTGCAGTCATACATGGATTCAGAGATCATGGCCATTATGTCTCAGTACATGCCACTTGACAATCACCAAAACAATGAAGTTCAACATGAAGCTCAACCCTTGCGGCATAGTTCAACCGTATAAGGTATTTAATATTTGAGTAATGAAATTTTCTTTTTATTCTATCATCATAATAGTTAAACATATTTTAAAAACATCAATGAGATGATAGATTCTGTAAATATAACATTTTTGCTTTAAATTTTTACAAAACAATTGTAGCAACAAAATTTAAAGTACATCAATCACATATGCAAAATTTGTTATCTCACCTAAACTTTTCCTACCATCGTTATTGACATCGTAGATAATGCATATGTGCAGGCTGTGAAGAGAGGAACTTATATTTTTAGGGATGGTGGATGGCGGAGAATGTTTAGATCCATAGAACGCTTGTAATACATGAGGATTCTGTTCTTTTTTCCGATTTTAGGTTTCTGTCTACGACTTCTCCGTATACAAAAGAAGTTGTGTAAAGGAGAATGCTTAAGATGTAAATTTTGGTACCCTATAATATCATCATCAATACAGATAATAATGATAAAAGATTTAAAAAGAAAAGAAATAAAAATAAAAATAACAGTTTAAACTCAAACTCATTTGTATTTACATATAAAAACAGGTAAACTTTTCATTAAAAAAAAAATGTTGATATTAGTCTGATTGTTTTTTCATTATTTTTTATGATAGTTTATTTCTATATTAAGTTAATTAAGACCCCCAATAAGAGCAAAACTCCATTTATGTAATTATATAAAATTATAACTTTTATAATTTTATTCTCAAACTTTTAAATAAATTATATTAAAAATAATTATGAGTAAAAATTATATCTGTTGAATATAAATAATAATTGTTCTCACTATTATAGAATATGGGTAATTATTTCTATGGCATGAAAAACAAGTAATATGTAATTAACAAGGCTTAAATGTTTTTCGATATCTTTGATGCCAATGCTTCTTTTAGGTCTCGGAGTAAGTGTTTTTGATCACTCTTCCACTTAAGCATTCAAACAATCAGACTATAAAATCAATATATTTACGATATATTTAAAATAAAGTTTAAACATAATTAAAGCCTTCAAAAAAAAATTATATGATATTTTATTTTTTATTAATTTTAAATTAAATTCTTTAAAAAAATAAATAATACTATTTTTCAATATCTTAAAATTATCGTTTCAAGAAAATACTTAATATAACAGTTAAAATTGTCACTATAGAGCACTTTTCATTTGTTACAATCCTTTTAAATTCATATTAATAATGTCGTAATAAATTTTAAAATATATTTAAACGGTAAAAAACCGTCGGTATAAGTTATCAATTTATATAAATAGATATTTTGTTTGTATAGATGATAAAAAAAGAATTTTTTTTTATAATTTTTATCAACGGTTAATCTCTTAATAAAAATTTATTTAACAAAATTTTAAAAATAATATTTACATTATTAAATTAAAGTATTATTATTTTAAATCTCTAAAAAAATTATCCAATTAAAATTTACAAACATATAATCAATATAGGGAAATCTCATTTACAGAAATGTTTAAGTCGACTATAATATTTCTTTATACATCAATTCATAAAATTTGGTAATTAGTGATCTTCACAGTGTTCTAAAAACCTGAAAAATGAACTCAAAGAATAAGTAATAATATTATTAATTAAATCATACTTTAAAATAACAAGAAAAGAAATTGCAGCTATGAAGTTAACACATAAATTGTAAAAGACGATAAATTTAGCAACTGATCTACAACCATCATAAACCCAACAATGAAGAAACATCAATCAGCCACTACAACCTTCAAATACATAGATTAATAATTAATACAAACCCTTTTCAAGAAAAGAAAAATAAATGTATGTAAATATATGTCTGCAAATGTAAATAAATACATTAGAGTTTATTGGATTGAGGATAGAAGAGAAAGGTCTGTTCCGATAAACTCCCAGTTGAATGAAATTTTATTGACTCATCCTTAGCCTCAGTTTTAGGAAGATGACCACTTCAATCTGAGGTGGTGTGATATTTTCTCTTAACAATGCAGTTTATAGATTTTCAATTACCAGATGTGTCCTTGCTTGGCGCGGGCAATAACATCTCTGCCACCGCCTTCTAAGGGTTTCTTACCATAAGGTACCACTTGGGTATCCCAATTCTCAAGCTCAACTGGTCGAGCACTCTCTGTCCGGGCCCATCGCCGGAACGATTCCTAGTTTTCGTTTTTCCTTAATCCCCATCAAGTGTACGCTTTTATCCTCTTTCTCTTCATTTCTATTACCAGGAATTTCATTTTTATGTGGTTCGTTATCTTTATCTTTTCACCGATTTCCTGTGTCAGAATATTGTGAATTAGTACCCAAGTTTTTTGTTTTTGTGAATCAACTGAATGAGATTTCAATATGGCAACTATTCTATATCTAATCTATACACACTGCCATTTTCCAATCAGCTTGGTTTCGGGGGTGCGGGGGTGGGGGATGGATTTTTATGCTTTAAATTAGGTTTCGGATCAGCTTAGCAACCAAGAAAATGCTGGAAGTTTTCGTCGTGGAAGGGTGTATTAAATTAGGTTTTTATCTCATTGATGAGAAAATGGAAGTCTGACATGAAAGACAGATTTTACAGTACTGAATGTTAAGAGAGAGGTACTTACCATGTTGAGCTTCAGCTTACTTAGTTTGTCTTGTCTGTTCACATGCTCTTAGTATCTTTCCCCTTGTGATTTTATATCTATGGCGGAGTTTGTATCATCTGTTTATCCTTGTTTGTCTAAAATTTACCTGTTTTCTATCATTTTCTGTTTGCATCTCAGTGCTTGAAGTTGCAGCAGAGGAAACCAAACCGCTTTTCATATTAAACTTAAACCCGTTCTGTCAGTTCAGAGCATTACCGTTAATGCTGCTCATTTAACTGAATTCTTGGGGTGCTTTCCTGTAGATGGTTCATCCTTACGTGAAGACTTTCTTTCCTGTCCAGTATCATTGTCTTCTAAGTTCTAGTGAAGTCTCTTTATGCTATGTACTTCTTTTAAGTTAGGGGGTGAATTATAAGGTCTTTTTCTTTTCAGAGGAATGAATATATGGTCTTTCAGCTGGGTGTTTACCTTCAATAGTCACCATCCTCAACTTTCTTGTGCAGTTTTCTTCATTGGTTTCAAGTGAGTTAAATTCTGTATGGCCTCAAGTTTGAGATGGTGGATTTTCTAAATGTGGCTCCAATTTATGTTTTCATCCTTAGTAGCCAAAATTATATATGGTCCTGTGCCAATTTCAATCTTAGTCATAATGGCATTTAGCAAATTCTTTAGACTTCCTATTTTTTGCTTTAGTCTTATCTGCTGTCTGAATTCAGTAAGTTCATGATTGCATTTACACATTTGCAAGTCTGCGTGTTGCTAAGCTCTCTATGATATTGTTATAGTATCTTTGCAACAGTGAACTCTGAATATCCAATTCATGCTCTCTAGTTTTCGTCCACTTCATGGATATCAGTTGCTGGGTGCGCAGATGGTGCTTTGGTTGACATGCATATTAACTGTCATCATGCTTGCAGGGTTTTTGTGTTGATGAATGAAAAGGATGGTGGTGTGGAAATTATAGGTTGTATGGCTTGGAATAACATGGTTATGAGAAGGAAGCATTGTCATATCCAAGCTAGCCGTTGCTTATTGCTGTTAACAGAATCGTACGCTTCTGCTGATTTTCCGCTCTTTATACCAAAGAAATCCTGAAATTTATAAGCAGCAGAAACACAATGATCCTGGAAATCCCAAAAAAATTCGCTACCCTTTCCTTGCCCCTAAAAACCATCATATCCTATCCCTTAATATCAAATGCAGCAGCAATATTGTTTTCATCTTTTCCATTTTCTTCTTTTTGTGAACCAGAACCATTCACAGACCCAAAACTAAAATTAACACAGGAGGAACTAAACACGATCAACCTCTTAATTCCACGCTTGTGCCTCTCCGACCAGCTAGCCACAGCAATTCAGCTCACCTCCACTGCACTCCTCACCAATCCATCTCCTATGTCAATTTCTTTCTCAATTCTTGTCCATTCCCTGACTTCCCAGCCAGACCTGACCCAAACAATGTCCTTGTTGAACTGTCTTAAATACTCACCACCTGCACACCTGCACCTAACACCCATCAGCACCATGCTAATAACCTCGTACCTCAAAAAGGGAAGGCTAAAAGAAGCCTTGAAGGTGTACAACTGGGTAGTCAGGCCTGGTTCCCCATGCAAGGTGGAGCTGATGGCATATGGAGCTTTGCTTGATGGCTTTTGCCGGAATGGGTCTATTTTTGAAGCTTTGAGAGTTTTGAAGGACATGCTAAGTGTGAATTTGGTGCCTGGGGAAGGTTTGAGAAATAAGGTATATAGGAGTTTGTTGAGGGAGGCAAGAATAAAGGAGGCTAAGGTGTTGAATGAGGCTTTGGGTTGTCTTGGAGATGGTGGTGAGAATGTGAAGGTGTTGGGTTTGTTAGATCAGATCATTGCTGACTGGAGAGAGTAGGTGCTGATCAAAATTCTAAGATGATTGGCTCCAAGAAAATTGCAATCTTCTACATCTTTTGGGTGAGCCCTTGATAGGACTCCATAATACTGTTGCTTGAACCCAAGCAATCAACAGCACAGGAAGGGTATCTTGCTAGTTACGTCCAGAGTTGCTGGCAATTATAACCTTCTATTTAGCAGAATCCTTGTCCTTTCTATGCCGTTCCTGGCTTTATATTTGAGAATAGAAAGAAAAACTTAGTTCTATGTTATGTATTGTCCTGGAAACTTGATTAGCTCTTTTATTCAGCCATCTCTACCATTAGTTGCCCTTGTGGACCCAATTTTGAGGTGACAGACTATTTTGCATTGGACAAAGAAGTAAACTTTTATATCTGGTAATTGGCTGTGTTGTAAGTTAAATGCAGTGGGCGCTTTTGGTTTAATAGAAGGGAAAGCTGGGGACAATTTTACACAGCTTATACCATCTTCAATAACTTGTGAATTGTTAAAGTTTTTCAAAAATTAAGAAGTTGAATTATTTAGATATTTTTATATCAAAAAAATATAGTTCATACACCTTTATAAAAAACTTAAAGCTTTTATTATATTTAAAATATTAGTAGTTAAGAATAGAATTTATAAAATTAGTTTGAAGATGTTAATACATGGATAAATATTAAAATATTATACAAATTTAGGTTAATTTATATAAATTATATGAGACCTTAAAATTTGTACGAGCAATATGAATCAACTTTATCTCCGCCAAAGGTGGTATAAAGGAAGAGAGTGAGTTGAAAAGAAAGAAAGAAAGAGGCAGAAATAAGAAACATGGTTAGTAGCCATTTTATGAGTGTACTTTATAAATCTACCAAAAAAAAAAAAACAAGAGTATTTTTAGGTACAATAAGAATTTTTTTTAAAAAAAAATTTCATGAATGTAAAATAAAAAATAAAAAGTAAATGTTTTTGAGTTGTAATACCTAAATTAATTTTTTAATTTAAATTAATTTGTAAATATAATTTTTT